TCCTGTCCTCAGGTGTGGATGCTTTACCCCAGAGTTTGGTGTTATTGGTGAACTTGGCCAGTCCGCTCCTGACTCCAATGTCCACATCATTAATGAAGATGTTGAACAAGATGGGTCCAAGGACAGAGCCTTGGGGGGCCCCACTGGTCACAGGGCACCACAACAATTGACTTCCGTCAACCACCACCCTCTGGGTCCGACCACGGACTGATTTCCCAGCCAGTGGATTGTGGTGGACCCAAGGCCACAATTGGCCAGTTTCGCCAAGAGGTGATCGTGGGATACCAGATTGAAGGCTTTTTTGAAGTCAAGATATATGACATCAATCTCTTCTCCCTTGTCCAGGTGATAGGTCACCTGGTCGTGGAAGGAAATGAGATTGGTCAAGCAAGACCTACCTGCAACAAACCCGTGCTGGCTATCCCTTAGGATGTTGGCATCAGCCAGTCCACTAAGGATGGCCTCATTAATAAACTTATGGCTAAGATCAAGTGTAGGATCTGGCCATTAGTGTTTGCTGTCTATTTTGGTGCTAGAAAGTGACAGAGTCAGCTCCTAAGCTCCTGAGACTCATCCCCCATTTGCTTTACTTTGGTCAAGCTAACAGCGAACCCTGGTTGGAGGGACTTAGGAGAGTCTGGGGCCTTTGAAAGCAGAAATGGGGTTTGCACTCCCTCTCTGCTGCTTCTCTGTGTATTCAATGCTCTGAAGAAACGCAATCTAGGAAAAATCAGACCGCAAGTCATGCTTTGTCTCCAGCGGTGCACCAGGACTTTTCCCCACAACTAGAAATTGTTGCGGTTCATGTTTGGAAATTTGACTTTTGGCTTTCAGAGGAGTATTGACATGACCCTGGTGATGGAGGCATCTCCGTGGTCTTCGACTGTTACTCCGGTCTTACACTAGCTGAGAATCTGGCCTGAGCAATTTAAAATTGACCACATTAGGTCTTGTCACTTTACAAATGAGAACTTGCATTTTCTTTCTTGGATCATCTTCCAAAGGCCTTGGGGCTGGGGAGAAATAACTTTTCCCTAATGTGAGGCCTCTTTCTAGGGCCAAAAACCTTTGGGGATTCACTGGAGAATTCCTTCTTTGGGTGCAGTCTCTACCCCTTACCACGAGAGCTAGAGACTTAGTGAGGGCAGGGTCTGCTGTCCCTACATCTGGAATAGCTCCATGCCCACTGCCTTCTGTGGTTTCTGCAGCCTCCCTAATGCCAGGAAAAGGAGGTGCTTTCTGAAATGCATGCAAGTGTAGTCCCTTTTCCACTGACTGCTCTGAACAGCGTTTTGCAAACTTCAGCTTCACGGAATGAAACATCAGTCATCAGAGAGACACTCACAAGCTCTCAGGGAAGAAGCGCTGCTTTTAAAAAGGCTTTCAACATCAGGAACGCAGCCGCGCTATCCAAAAAAGTCACTTGCTGCCCACTTGCTGGGCTGCCCTTCTGCTGGCAAAAATCTGTTGGCTCCTTGATGGCAGGACCCATCTCATTGCCTACCTGGATTGCAGCTGATGTGACTTCTCTTGGCTAGCAGAATACCAGACAGAGACACCATGACCCCTAGTTGTATTAATACAGGGACAGCGCCAGTGATGCTACCTTTTTTTCCAGGGGCTTTGCTGCTGTTGATTCCCAGGAGCAAAACCCACACTCCAAGGCAAATGAGGAAGTGCCAGAAATATTTGTGTTCTCATCTGAGGTACAGCAGGTGAGGGATGGGTTACCAGAGGCAGTTAAAGCTTGACTCATTTTTGGCAGTAGCTTGTCAGCCCCGACAGATTTGGTCGGAGACCCAAAACACTCAAAAGACCAGGGTGGGCAAAGAGCAGAAGACCACTCCCACTTGGCTGCATTGGCAAGCAGGCTTACCTATGTGTTCAACATGCAGGAGCGCGGAGACAGCTGCTATGGAAAAGTTGTAGACAGACAGGTATCTGTATGCTGACTGAGACTGTGTCTATTTAATTAAAAGAATATAGCTTAATTCCTGCATGGTTTACAAAGAAGATATTGAGAATGAGCTTAATATGAAACAGGTTCTATATTTGCAGATAAAAATCAGGGCATTTTAGACCTGGAGTCTTCTCCAGCAGAGGCCGACTGCAACCCAGGGAAGTTTTGCTCATATTAGGGCTGCAGCCTTGGAGCTCTGATAAAGTGCATCCAACTTGCATGGATGGTCATGGGCTGAGATCTTCCAACTGGGGATTTGCTGAAATTTAAAGAGTCCCTTTATAATGTAAGGTTCAACAGTGTTTCCCACCCTCTCCTGTACGTGCTAAAAAATTAAACGTTCTGGGGCAGTGGCTAATGAGACCGCTCCTGCATCTCAATTCACTGGATCTATTCTTAGACTCTCTTCCTGCTGCAGACCAAGGGAGTTTGAATGCCCTGCTTTAATTCTTCTCCTGCTTCTGTTGCCGCAGTGCCTGTAGAAAGATCTCCTTCACTTGGCTCATTGTCTCTTGGTACAGTTTGAAATCCTCCTCTTTCATTCTTGCAGTGCTCTCCAGGGCTCTCTTCAGTGCCTTGTTTTCATCCACCTGGATCTGAAGCCTACGCACACACAAAAGGAAACGTTCAGTCTCACTGTGGAGGGTCGGAGCAAATAGAAAGTGCGCTTTGGCCTCAGGGGAAAGCAAGCCTCCATGCACATGCTTGCTGGTAATTTTACTGCAGCAGCAAGGACCATCAGGCTTTTCAACACTTGTTCCCCAGCTCTCTGAGACAGAAGGGAATATCCTAATGCTTTGTTTCCTGGTATCTCTCACGTCTTCTGTGCCAACATTCAATAAAGTTATGCTGATTTATCCCAAGTGAGGATCCAGCCCCAAGAACACAAGCACTGAGGACTAAATCAGCACAAATGCAACCACAGCACTGCTGGTGTTGGTACTTTTGCGCTGTTTGGGATTCTGCTTCTCCGGGACGTATACCTGCCAGAAGCGACATGGGTGAACCTGTGCCCACCGCATTTCTTAGGGGTGGTTCTGTCCCAGTAGGAGCAGAGGCCTGGGTTATAACTCAGGGTCCTCACCCTCTCACAGACACACACAGCCTCTGGCTTGTTCTCTTCCTCCTGGCCCCACATTTCTCCCTCTCTTGGTCGTTCAGTAGGCCAGCTAGATAGGGGCTCAGGGGATGTCTAGATTGGTGGTTAGAGTGCTTTGCTAGGAAGCAGGAGATATAGGTTTAATTCTCCTCTGGGTTGGGGGTCAGTTATTGAACTTACCCACAGAGCAGGAGATACAAGAGCTCTACCCATGAGGCTATCGTGATAAAAGGTGGGAAGATCACTGCCGTCTTCCACCTCCTCCGGTCTCTGACACCCACTCGTGGTTTTTTGCTCAGCTAAACTTCAGGACTTTTCCCAGTCTTATGCATGGATCCTGCTGTCACACAGCTGCTGGCCACGGGACAGCTCTGCTGAACATGCTCATTTGTATGCCCAGAGCCAGATCACATATTGCATATAAATGGTGCCCAAACTACCATTATGTAGCTACTTGCTTGCCATTTCAATACATAGAGGGCACGTCTACATGTTCATTAATGCACCGTAGTTACTGTGTATTAACTTTAGTACTTGGTTAACCAAGTAAGAAATCAATGTGCAGTAACTTGCACTACTGCGCTGGCTACTTAGTGACACTTACTGTACAGTAGCCTGATACTATTGTGCAGCACCATATTAGCATGGTTTTTGCCCGGCATGCTACTGTGCAGTGTTATTAGGCTACTGTGCAGTTAGCATCTCGTGTAGACGTGTCCAGACGGAAATAGGATTTAGCCCTACAAGCATGGCTGGTTTAATCTATAAGAGGACAGACTAAGCTTAGCTTCTGAGTTTTGGAGGAAGCCAAGAGAGACCCAGGATAAGGAAAGAGGAGCTATACCTTGTGCTCAGCTCTTCTATTTGAGACTCCAGGGGCACCTCTGAGAACTGAACTGCAGCCAAATCTTTCCTGTCGCCCACAGTCAAGGTTTGTTTGGCGGTATTTGCAGACTGACCTGCGGACACAATCATAGCATGGAGTTCTAGTAAATGCAAAGGCAACCCTGTGAAGTCAACAGCAGCATAGCTTTATAGTACATCTCTGGGGACAGAGAATAGGGAAGGGGCCTGCTCACTCCACGTGCAGGCACGAACAGGCTGCAAACACACAGGGAAGATTGCTCTGCTCTAATCTCTTTTCAGTAGAATTACAAACTGAATGAGACTGTATTTCAGCAGGGAGGTGATGGGGGGCTGCTGTTTAGGGAAGGAAACACATGAAACAAAGTGCAAGTGGCTAAAGCTGTGGGCTGTGTAAACAGTTGAATGAGATTATTTTGATGCTCATCTTTCTTGTAATTGTATTTCCCACTCACGGCTATAGTGACAGTGTTTTATAAATACCCGAGATGGAGATCTCTGTTATGCCTGCTGAGAAGCAAGGTTTGCTTGGTAATATCTTTTACTGGATCAGGTCTATAGTTGGGAGAGACGTTAGTCATAACACAGTTATATAGTTGGGAGAGACTAAGTGCCTTTCCTCAGGTCTGGGAAAGAAGCAGATATTACTAAATAAATTTTGCTTATCATATATTCCCCGGAACATCCTACAGCAACACTATGACCCTATTGCACCCACTGAGGTGCTTCTCGAGAGGCACGTGCTCAAGTGCCTTCTTTATTAAAGATACATTCCTGCATTTGGGACCTGTATCAACATGAGAGAGTGCTGTTACACCAATTCAAACAGATAGAGCAACTCGCCCAGGGGAAATCTGAAATATATTGGCCTTCCTGTTGGAAATACAGTAATTGGTGAGTGGGGAAAGAAATAAAACATATGAGAATAAACTACAGACTTCTTGTAAATGAGAAGCTGCCTTTGTCCTGCTATTTTATTTTAGGCAATTGATCAAACACGGCAGTGTTTCCCTGTAAATCATTAGGATTTTGCTTTGCATTCTGTATTTCCTGAGCACTTTTTCTTTGAAAAAGAGAAAAAAGGAGCAATTTTAGATACTGACAAGAGTATTGCTCTTGTGTGCGGAGCCAAAGTCCTCTGCCAGCATCAGCACCTACAATCTCTGCCTGGCAGAGAATGAAAACATTAGCATTCACAATTAGATCAGCTCTTCCCAATTTAGCATGTTAAGCATTATGCTAATTAGCAGGGCCATAGCCTTCTTTATGCCATGGGCTTTCATTTCTCTTTATTTCTTCAATGATCAGGTATTAACAGCATTAGGAAAAGCTAAGTTCTCTGTTAAAGGAGTATTTTAAAGATTTGTGGATTCACTTCTTGTTCAGAAGCGTTCTTGCTCACAGCAAGTGCAGTTTTAAAAGAAGAGAGCTTGTGAATCGAGTTACTGCCCATTCAAGTTAGGGATTTAGGTACCATATTTTCCCCTTATAGATATATCTATATCTAGATATATCTTTAACACAACACTGTAGTTTGGTCTTGGAATATACAAGGAGTGTGATCTTACTGTTTAATCTATGCATGGGTATGTATGCTACAGTATATGGAATCCAAATTGGCCATGCTTCATCCAGTTACAAATGACTGACACCTCGAGGTGAACCCCTGAGCTCTAACTATCCCAAAACAACCAAGCAAAAATGGCTTGGGACACGATATGCAGGATACTGCTGCTTTTTGAGACTGCAGGAGAAATGAAAGTGGGTGCTAAACAGGGTAACACCTCTACACTGAAGAGTGCTGTGATCTGTGCAGTCACAAGCGATCAGCAACACTGTTTAATTCTCCTTCAAATGATGGGATTTGAGCACTGCAGAGCCCCATCCAGGGTATGAACTATAATGAAAAAAAGTAACTGCATATTTTTATATGGGACATATGTGCCACTGGCACTCACAGAACCCCACACAGCATCTTCTCAACCCCTTAGGTGCCTACATTTATACCCCTGGGAATGCAGAGACTCACCTTAGTCCTGACAAAGCCAAGCAGCCCAGTGACAATCTCACACTTAAGCCCCTTCAGGATTCACAAACAAGGCAGGTACCTGCTTCTTGCCCCATAGGGTTGAATCCTCATCCCACACTGAATGGAAGCAATGGTAACACCACTCTCTACCCCACCTTCCCCCCAGCCAGGGATTAATATGCTCACATAATAGCTGAGACACCCAAATTCAAATCCCTCTACTGCCTGCCCTAGACCAGAGATGAATCATAGAAAATGAGGGTTGAAGGGACCTCAGGAGGTCACATCTAGTCCAACCCCCTGCTCAAAGCAGGACCAGCCCCAACTACATCATCCCAGCCAAGGCTTTGTGGAGCTGGGTCTTAAAAACCTCCAAGGATGGAGAGTCCACCACCTCTCTGGGTGACCTGTTCCAGTGCTTCACCACCCTCCTAGTAAGAAAGTTTTTCCTAATATCCAATCTCAACTTCCCTTGCTGCAGCTTGAGCCCATTGCTCCTTGTCCTGCCATCTGCCCCCGCTGAGACCAGTCCAGCTCCATCCTCCCACCAGGTTTTGGGACTTCTCCTT